ACTGGTCCAACAGGCTGGGCGTGGGCTTCCCAGCACTGAGTGATGAGGGACAGGACGAGGGGACTGGACTACACTCACGTACATATACATGCATACTTGTTTTAATACAATGTCCCATATTTATCAAGCATTTCAAAGTAAGAGCACTGATCTAAGATCAGGTCTCATCAGTTCATGTAAGTCTATTCAGTGTAATATAAAAGCTGTAAGCTGACCCCAGATCAGCATTCTTACTCTGATAAGGTTGATATATATGGGCCATTTTCAGGACAGGGTCAGGTTCACTGCTGTCATAACAAAGCCTTGAATCTTAAAGCCTGAAGCCTTGAATTCTTAACTCTGTTCACACAATGTAAAGGACAGCTGAGGTTCAAATGAGGTTCCATATATATATATATATATGTTATATATATATGTATATATATATATATATATAGACACACACACACACACATATATATATAATTTTCTGCTATTTTTACTTTTCTGCATCATTTGAGCTCAGCAGCTGTCCCTTACATTGTGTGAAAATATCATGATGATTGGACTGACAGAAATGCTCAAAAAGTGCTTAGAATAAGATCTTTTTCCATTAACTTACATTGAAAGTAAAGAACGTTTTTGATCTCTCCTATAAAGTTACTATTTTGGAGATTTTGGAGTTATTTTTCTTTGGACAGCGACAATATATAAAATCACAGTAACAAAAACAGCTTGATTAATTCTAAAGGGTAAAGAGGTGCTGGAAAATGGTCATGTAAAAACGAATTACGAATGTTTTTTTGGTACATACAACTACACTGGACTTCCTGTTTAACTGGACTTCAGGCCTTTAACTTAGGGAACCAAAAAAATGGTTTTGTTCTTTCAGGTTTCAAAAATGAAAAATGGTCTATAAAATACAAAACAACAAGAGAAGTCAGGAGGTTAGTCCTGTTTTCTGTGTTTTTTTCCAAACACTTTCAAACACACTGTCCTGATATAAATGCATATAAAAACACACATACACACGCACACAGATTCCATATGAGCGTTCCCATTCAAATTCATCTGCATCAACACAATCATCATAATTCTAAAACATCCGTCAACCCACGCTCATAATTCATCCATTATGCAAGCACAGAGGTGAACTGGGTGGTCTACTCTCTAATTTCTCTCCACATACACACACGCACATACACACATGCACACACACATTCATAACGCACACACTAGCACTCTCTGAGCGTGCAGATGTATAGTGTGTTTTTTGGACACTGTGCAAACTCAAAGAATCCCACTGAGCCTGAATCAAGGTTAAGATCTACACGTGCTCCAAATGTGTTAGTCATATCCCTGCTTTCCTCTCTATAATCTAATGTCAACACCTCACCTTCAGTCCATTTCCTGACCCGCAACTCTATGAGCGCTCCGAGCTGCACTTCAGAAGAGCCGCAGGGGAAAAGAGAGCACAAACCAATCTGCTAAAGAGCACTAACAGCGTAGAGGTGAAGCTCTCATCTCCCCTAAAGAAACAGTTCAGTGAAAACTTCACACAATTTTCCCCTTTAACCCAAATGTGGTTTGTCAGCAACGACATTTGGCACCTGAAGTTTGCTGCTAGTGTAACAAACATGTAATGAAAGCGGCACTTTTTTATAGACAACAATATGTCATACAGTGTCAGGAACCAAGCAAGTTACTAATACTCTCACTTTTAGAGATTACTCAACAATTTGAGATGGTTTGAAATGAATGGATTTGCATGTTCATCTCCTTCATTTCAGTGGAGAGCTCTGCTACAGTGCATGATTCTTTGCAGTGCAACAAAATCTGGCAAAAGAGTTCAGTAGATTTTAACTTTATCCAAATGAGCGCAGCCACTGCATTGCATTAAGCCAATTAGGCAAGAGTAGACGATCTTCATTTCCAACACCAGAGGACAGAGCGGGGAAACAGCAGCTCTTCTTTGAATCCATGGCAGTTTAACCTAACAATGAAAATATCTGGTTTTATACAGAACTGCTGACAGTGAAGATCTGGAGGGAAGCCGTTTGATTGGGTGAAGTTTGTTGAGCTGTAAGGCACATTTTAAACAATGTGGCGTTCTAAGGTTATTTGCTACTGTAGCTAGTGTGCTAATGAGCGAGCTAACTTGCTAATCTGTGTGGACGACTTGTGCATTCTGACAATTATAAAAGCATGAAAAGCATAAGTCTGCATGCTTTCATAGCTTTAAAACTAGATTTTAAGATAATGTTTGTGATGTTATGCAGTTAGTGCAGCTTTGTATCCCGCAGCCTCAGCAGTTTGACAGTAAACCTCAGTCCTTCCATTGTGACACAATTGTTTCAACCCATAATTGTTCTTGGACCGAACGATCCATTAAAACGACTGCGATACAATCAGTGTTAATAGAGGAAGACGTGATTAGCGTTCATGGGAACTGACTGAGGATGATGGTGACTGAGGTGGAAAAAGAATCATAAACCAGTTACAAACAGACTTTAACATATGTGTCCAGTTACTGGACCAAAACGAGCACAGAGGAACCCCTACACAGCCTGACCACTCGCTCACAGCCCCCAGAGCCACCATTCATCTCAGAGACAGATAGAGACAGGAAAGAGTGAAGAAATGAGGAAGACGTGCCAGGGAGGAGGAGAGACGAGGGGGTTTCTGAAGAGAAGAAAAAGAGAATACACAAAAAGAGTGAAGAAAAGAAATGAGAAGAGAAAAAGACAGAGTCAAGAAGAGACAAAAAAAGAGAAAAGATGATAGACAAGAACAAGAAGAATAAAAAGGAGAGAAGGAAAAACACAGAAAAGGAGAGAAGAAAATGAGGAAAGAAGAGAAAAGAAAAGGAGAGAAGAAAAATGAGAAGAGGACAGAAAAGGAGAAGAGAAAAAATAGAACAGAAAACGAGAGAAGAAAATAAATGAGAAGAGAACAAACGAGGAGAGAAAAGAAGAGAAGAAAACAAATAAGAAGGGAAAAGGAGAGAAAACATAAGAGAAGAGAACAAATGAGAGAAAAGAAGAGCACAAATAAGAAGAGAATAAACTAAGAAGAGAAAAGGAGAGAAGAAAACAAATGAGAAGAAAAAGAATGAGGAAAGAAAAGCAGAGAAGAAAACAAATGAGAAAAGAAGAAAACAAATGAGGAGAGAACATAAAAGAAAAAATGAGAAGGGAAAAGGAGGGAAAATGAGAGAAGAGAACAGAAAAGGAGGGAAGAGGAGAGAAAAGAAGAGGACAGAAAAAAGAACAAAAGGGAAAAGGAGAGAAGTAAGAAACTCGAGAAGAGGCCAGAAGACACAAGGAAAAAAAAAGAAGAGAAAAACTGAATAGAAAAGTAGAGAACAAAAAGAGACGAGAAGAGACAAGAATGAAATAAAACATAAGAGGAAGAGAGAGAGAAGAGAAAAAACAGATGAGGAGAGAAAAAAGGAGAAGAAAAAGACAAGAAGAGAAGAGAAAAAAGAAACCAGAAGAGAACAGAGGAGAAGAGCAGAACTAGCCTCCTGTCTCCTGGTCAGTAGAATTTGAAAAGAGAGAGAGAGAGAGAGAGAGAGAGAGTCTGTGTGGTTCAGTGTGTTTGGGGAGCGGCAGCAATCGGGGGGAGGGGCTGTGAAGGTTCTGCTTCAGTGCCATCTCTCTCTCTCTGTGTGCTTTGGCAGGGGGTTTGGTGTGTGTGTGTGTGTGTGTGTGTCTGTGTGTGTGTGTGTATATCGTACTGATAGAGAGGGTTGTTGGTGCGGCTCCGCATCTACTCACACTCACACACATGGCGGCGGTGAGAAAGGAATTCCTCAGAGTGTGTTTGATGTTTATTTTAGAGTGCTCCCTGCATCACACCGGTGATGACCGACAGACTAAACTCAAGCTCAACAGACAGATGAAACACTCACACTTACAGCCTCATATCGTCCCTCACACACATACGCACATTCCCCCCTACACACACCCCCACACACACATCACAGCCTCCTTCACACACTGAAAAACGTTGCATTGAATTAACCTGATTCAAATGATTCACATCAATAAATCAACACAGCTACTGTGCTCAGTGAGTAAACTGAAAGACAGTAATCATGTTGATAGACTTTTAAACCTTTAGAAGTCAAAGACCACCCTTCATTTATTTACCTCACAGTCAAAAATGGATATGAAGTGTAAGTTATTTCTTTTTCAGCATCAGGAAAAAAAACAGAAAACACAAAATTACACAGAAGCCTCAAATATAATAAACATAAAATATATTTTTTTTCAGTGTTTAGTGTGTCCACCCTTTAGCTTCATTACAGCTTCCATTCTTTTCAGGAGACTCACTTTCAATTCACCAAAGAAACCTGCAAGAATATTTTTCCACACCTCCAAAGTTCAGTCTTAGAAGTTGGTTTAGCATTTTCTGCTTCTCACAATCAAAATAATCCCAAATGCATCCAATGATGGTGATATGTTCTCAGTTTTGACAGCTACGCATCCTTTCATACTCCTTTCATAAGAGTGGAGCTTGATTTTCTCCTCTCTCTCAAAGACAAAAGCTTTAAGTACTGTTTATCTGATGGGGACAGTTTAAGTACTTAACGGCTGTTTTGACTGGGAATTAAATAAATGAAGTGTGGTCTCTGACTTTTGCACAGTACTGTATATACTTTATATATACATTCACTGGCCATTTTAATAAGTACACCTACCTTGTTTCTAGACTCATTGCCCATTTAATCAGCTCCACTTACCATATAAATGCACTTTGTAGTTCTACAATTACAGACTGTAGTCCATCTGTTTCTCTGCATACTTTGTTAGCCCCCTTTTACCTGTTCTTCAATGGTCAAGACCCACATAGGACCACCACAGAGCAGGTACTATTTGGGTGGTGGATCATTCTCAGCACTGCAGTGACACTGATGTGGTGGTGGTGTGTTAGTGTGTGTTGCGCTGGTCTGAGTGGATCAGGCACAGCAGTGCTGCTGGAGGTTTTAAACACAGCTGTGAGCTGTTTAAAACTGTTAAACAACACTGCTGTATCTGATCCAGCACATACACGACCACATCAATGTCACTGCAGTGCGCGAGAGTGATCCACTACCCAAATAGTACCTGCTCTGCGGGGGGCTGGACCTTTGATAAATGGGGTAAAGTATGCAAAAAAAGTAGGGTAAATACATAGTACAGCTTCCAATATCTGCCAAGCCTGAAACTCGCCCAAACTAGCCCATCACAACCCAAAGCTGACTGCTCGGTTTCCAAATATGTGTTGGGCTCTGAGTGGTTGCAGACTTCACATATTGGTTTTTAGTCCACCTGCCAGCTTCAGCACAGGTAGGTGCAGCCAAAAGGACATTTAGGTTGTATGTTCAGTATATTATATGTAACATGTTATATGTAAAGAAATAGAGGATTAAACAGGTGAAGGCTAATTTCTCTATCTTGCTGTATCAGCAGTGCACAGCATGAGAAAAGCACATTATTGAAAGTTTATCCAGACTAAAAAAATGGTATGTGGTTCAAAAACAGTGCTTAATGAATGCATATCTTAAAGAGGGGGTTAACTAATCTTGGACAGCTGATTATTTTATTATAGCATATTCCTATATAGTTTTTATTTATCCGTGATATAATGACAGCTATCAGGTTTTATTCGGCACTTTGAATTATGATGGGTTGGTTTGGGGGAGTTTCAGACAGAATTCTGTTGTGCTTGGGTCAGTTTCAGATTCACAAACTTCATGATGATGCTCCATATGGAGAATTCAATATCTGGGAACCTTTTTTGGTTTTATATGGAACATTTGTCCTCCATACAACTTCTTTAACAGGCTTGTTTTTGATTCTTGTCTAATATATAAAAGCAGGAGTGCTGTAATTTGTATAAATAGCATATTGGACTGACTATTTCTTTGCATAAGAAATTATTTATTTTATTTCATTTATTCATTTATTATTTGTGTACTTTTACTGTTTTACTTTTTCGCTTTTGCAATCTTATCTTCAATAATTGGATTTGGGGGGAAAAATAACGATGAAAAAGCTGATGGAGTTCGAGTCTAATTCAGACAGAAAATTCTCGGGCTGTACTCGGGCTCAGGTCGAACTTTCAGGCCTGATTAAAGTTTTATTACATGGTAGGAGTACCTAATGATGTGTCCAGAGAGTATATGTGATATATTCATAAGGAAATTATATATAAATATGAAACAAGTCAATTCAAGGCAAACATACACACATCGCATCCACTTTCACACACATCTACTGTCACCCCCACAGCGCACACATACACACACACACACACATACACACTGTAAAAAATAATTTACAATTTCAACACAAAAGAGTAACCTGATTGCCTTAACATTTTTAATTCACTGAACCTCAATGAATAAGTTTGAATAAATACAGAATGTTCTGTTAACTTACTAATGGAGCTCTAAATTTTAAGGCAACCATGTTAATTACATGTTTCATTTAAACATCAAATCATTTTTTACAGTGCAGAGGACGGTGGAGCTGTGCCACACACCAGCCAGCCAACTCAAACACACAGCAGAATCAGGAGCACACGCACACACTCACACCGAACGCGCATACAGACGTATGTTTACGCACATGCATGACAACATCCACAGGGCTGTGTGCTGCAGCGTGTTACAGAAAAGTTACAGAGAGAAACGCCACTGTCTCTGGTTTTCCATGCATCATGTCTGGATGCTGACTGGCTCCTCATGCCCATCCGCCGCATTATTGGTGTGTATTGACTGGCCGTTCCATTGTGAGAAAGCCCCCCCACGCCCACCCATAAACCCCACCCACTTTCCCCAGCAGTTCAGTCTTGGTTAATGTAAAGCAAGGCCCGGGGCAGCGCAGGCCAAGCCTAGTTCAGTCCAGTTCACTTCAGAGGTCCAGTAAGGCCACAGCAGGATCGCCCAGAACGGGCCTGTCCCTTTAAAAGTCTGTGTAGGCTGTCGCCATGGCAACTCCGTCGTGAGGCATCGGCTAGCTACAGGCTGGGCCGCTGGCGGGTGGTGTCATAGGAGCGCACGACCTGGGACTGGGACACCACTCCGTGTTCTTCTTGGGAGAATGCATAGCCATCTGCAGAGGAAAGTTTACATGAGGATGTCAACATTTTATATCAGTTCTTTGTCGCTCGTATCTTTTTGAAATAAGCAGAAAAAATCTGTAAAAGTGTAGATTCTAAAGTTTCTGTTCATTACGCATTTTGTGCTCATGATCCTTTAAGTTATTGCCACAATTTTGCCAGTGACATCAAAACAAATGGAAAAAAGTGCAGAAATGTCAAACAGAATATAAGACGAATGTATGTAATCCTCTATATAACAAACCATGTGTTTAATTGTGTAATTATGTAATCACATTTAATTACTGCCTCTGCCGCACGTGTCCGGAGTGTAGTGTGTTAGGTTTGTGCTGTGTGTGCCACATGTGCCATGTGTAATGTACACTGCGTGTGCCACAAGTGCCAGTAACCCTACGGGAGCCACATTTTATATCACTTCTTTCTCACACATAGCTCACTGAAATAACCAGTGAAATTCTGTCAAATGCAGAATCTGAAGTTTCAATCCACACCACATTCGTGTTTTTGATCCTTTACATTTTTGTCTTATTTTTGTATCTGAAATCAAAAGTGCATGCTTGAACTCATCATTACAGAATGTAAGCTGAATGTAAGTGTAATTCATCATATAGATCAAAGTCAGAGCTGAAAACATTTTGGACTTTAACTGACTAAATCCCTTTTTGCTTTGAATGACTCTTTGCTTTCATTATGTTTATTTTATTAAAACCAATCACAGCCAATTAACATTGCATTTTGTCACTATCAATACAATAATAATGCCTTCTAAACCTTTCCAAATGTTTCGGTAATGACCATTTTAGTTTCAAGCTAGCCAGTACATGACAAGCAAACACAGCTTTGAACAGCTGTACACATATAAAATTATATATTTTTATTATAACACAAAAACATACACTTAATTACAGAACATATGTGTTTTGGTACTGACAGTTCTTAATGTTACACACTGATTTACTGCCTTTGGGACATTTACTTCAAACTAAGTAAATCTAACTGCTCACCATGTAGTCATGAGGGTCAGGGATGCAGCCTCACTTCCTGCTTTAAAATGCAGGGGTGTGGCTAAAATAAGGCTCCGCCTATGGACTAAAACTCAGTAGTGACATGAAAACGTGAGACAGCACTTTTTGAATAAAATTTTATTTCATTAAGTAAATCGTAATCACAATATAATCCTTGTAAATATAAGGTCTGAATCCTCTTCTTAAACAGTTTTCTTCTGCAGGACTGCAGTTTCAACTATTCCGGTACAATAGTCCATATAACATACCATGAAATTAACTGCATAATTATGTAATTGCGTTTCATTTCTGGTGATGCTATGTATACCACGTGCACTGCATGTGCCGAGTGTGCTGTATATGGCGCACGTGTCATGTGTGCCATGGGTACTGTATGTGTCAAGTCTGTCACGTGCACTGCATGTTGCATGTGTGCTGCGTGTGCCACGTGTGCAGGTAATACTCACGTGACACGGTCTGCTGCACAGAGTTGGAGCGCCCCACACTGGAGGGCGTCTTCCTGAACACCCGAGTCAACAGGTGGGCACGCTCGTTCAGACTGGACAGAGAAAGAGGGAGATGTACAGGTCAGTCAACAAGCAAGAAATGCTGACTTATATATTATCCACACCTCCAATCACAGGGCAGAGGAGACAGAGAAACTCAAGCTAGAGATCAAAGATCAAAGCACAGCAGGGAATTCTGGGAGCTGGTTTTAAAGACATAGATTAAGCCTTTCACAGACTGCCAGGTTTAGCTCAAGATTAAGCTTAACCTGTACCCATAAAACAAGTTGACAGACAGGTTAAAGACTGAATCACAGGGCACACCTGAATGAGTGATCCTACAGCCCACTAGCCAAGCTCTTCCTTGGCACTTATCTAGTAGAAATATGCTTTGGATAGTCATCCTTGTGCACACTGAGAGAATCAAACCCACACGCACAGCCATAAAAGTTATACATAAGTAATACTAATAATTCTAAAATTCCAGCTCCACTTAGCACCAGTCCTCCTCGAAGACGTACTGCGATTCTCCTCTCATCAGCAGCTATTCGTCTTTTTAAATCTTAAATGAAAAAATACATCAACGTAACGATGACATTTTTACTCAAATTTATGCCTTCAATAAGGAGGCACCCCCATTTAAAGCTGGCTGGAATAAAGCTCCGAGCTCCAGATGGAATTCCAATGCCATTCCCAATATAGTTTCTGAATGAGGTAGAACCCAAGCAGACTTGACCCTATCTTTGATAAACAGACCCTATGCAGAAGACTCAGTCGATGATGTCTCCCTGTATATCAGATGAAAGTGACTATTTTCCAAAAAAAAAGGCAGGGCATAATACAAAAGCCAGCCGTAATGGAAGATGGCCAAGCTGCTCAAGGTTGCAGCTCAAATGCACAATAGAGTGGGCTGCAATGTTATCGTTGGGAGGACGTCCCGATATGTTTGGCCGTGTCGCGGAAAGCTCTTGGCGATCGTAGCCAAGAGACGCCGGGCGGCCAAAGAAAACGCTGTCTGCTAAACAGATGACTGGAGGAACGAGGAGAGTGATGGATGGATAAATAAAGAAATAAATAAATGGAAAGCACCACGCGTTACGCTGGTAAGACGAGCCTTTACTTTTCTTCGGACGCTCCTGCGGAGCCCCTCTTTGGAACGGAAAAGGAATGTCAAGAAAGCCTGCCATACGGGGGAGGGAAAATGGGGGGGACATTTTGTTACAGGCTTCAGCCTCCTGAGATCGCACATATCCTCCTCCATCCTGAAAACACAGATGACTCATTTATGAGTCCAGGCCTGGCCTAGTCTGAAAGAAAATATCCTGGCCTAGGCTAGGTCTCTTCGGGTCAATAGGACCCCAAGTCCAAACTATTCAAGACGAGCACTTCCTGTGTCTAAAACCTCCACCCAGCGCAGCACCAAAATCCAGCTAATGTTTAATCATTCAGCAGGGGTTGGACTCCTACCCAGTACAACTTACACCCATTATCCGGCTGTTTACCCCACTAAAATGAGGTTAACAATTCCCCTAAAGGAAGGGAACAGAGCAGAACAGGGCATCAAGCCAACATCCCTTCTGATTAGGAGTCAATTCTATCAGCTCTCCTTTCGCAAGCTTGTGGCCTAAAACCTCCAAAAATTACAACCCATTCAACAGCTTGTGTACAACTGCAAATCTTCCTGCAATGTCTGGTCTAACTGACCTTTGTGACCTCCCTCCAACAAATCCATCACTTTGTAGCAACTGTTGCTTCCTTGGACAGGCTTGGCTTTACAGAACACTCTAGCACAAAACTCAGTTTCTGTCAAAATTTGGAAAGTTAGAGTGTGTTCCTATTTTCAAATTTGCGTGATGACACATTTTTGGTTGTTAACAAGCTGCCAATGGATAGAGAACACCACTTTAATGCGTTCTATTATCAAGTTCGCCTGGGATTAAAATGAATGAAGTGCTAGGAATGATTTTGCTGTAAAAAAGGAGTTCAGCTATTGCTTTGGGGCAGAAAACAGCAACATTTATGTCCTGATGTTCCCTATAAAATCAAAGTTAGGCCAAAAAATGCTCTTTCCCACTCTATATGAGTTAATGTTAATGTTAGCTGCTTTAGCTAACCTTGTAGACATTATATTTGTTTTGTCTTGTAATAAATATTAATAGAAAATTAAGAAAAATTCTTATTTAAAGTGTATAATTATTATATGTGAAGCAAAGTTTCAAATTAATTGGTTATAGTTAAGTATACAGGTCAGCTAGCTAACTGTTTTAGTTACTGTGATAGCTAGGACAGTCTTGCTGTACTGTGATTCGGTCAAATACCCACACTACACCCACAATTATAGCCCATGATTGGTTCAGCTGGTCTCAGCATACCCACAATGTTACACCATGAAGGTAACATTAACGACTTTATGGCTATGCATGTAGGGCTAGTTAGCTAAGTTATCTATGCAAGATCAACTACTCACAGTACACCAATTGCACAGAATTCACAATTCAGGATCAACAAACCAAAACAATTCAACCTAAATAACACCACATGATGGATTCTACTACACAAACACAAACTCAGCTACATCTCCAGGGTTTCACACACCCAGTCCTTACAGCTACGTTCAGCTCATGGCCGCCTGACAATGAAAATGTGAAAGAAAAAAGATGTGAGATGGTGATGAAGGAATAAAAAAGCAGACTGAATGAAGAAAATGGAGGAAAGAAAGTAGAGTTCACACGCACACAGGCAGTGTAAGCTCTACCTGTGGAGTCTGGCTTTAGCCCTGCTGTTAGCCTACTGCACTGCAGCCTTGGGCCTGTGGACCATCGCATGGGGGTTAGTACACACCTACAGTACACTGTTAGACTAACACTCGCTAAACTTTAAAGGTCTACAGACATTTAAACATTGCACAGCAGCTTAACAAGCCATGACACATATGCAAAAATAGAGGAAATCAGGAGACAGATGGGTTTTCATGACATTGTACACTACTGTTCAAAAGTTTGAACTCCTGTCATTATGCAATAACAACTTACAAAGTGTAGATTAAAATACTGTAAGCTGGACTGAGAGGGTTTTTGATAATATATTCAATGTTTAAAGTTTTTTTGTGCACAACAAGAAGTTGTTAAATAATAAATAACATCCTGCAATCATGTATTATAGTAATTTCTTGGTAAGTTTTCTGCCTGAGATTTGAATTTCAAATTTCAAATACTAGGAGTATATGAACACTGTTAAACGCTGCTGTTGGACCAAAACCTTGTATCTCCAAAATGGTAACTTTACAGGAGAAGAAAAAAACATACTTCACTTTCAATGTAAGTCAATGGAACCAGACATTTTCCCAAGTCATTTTGGGACGTTTCCTTCGGTCCACTCATCTTAAAATTTACAAACTATGTAAAGAACAGTAGGTATTTTTCAAACTATGTCCAAAACTGAAAAAAATGGAGATACGAGGTTTCCGTCCGACAGCAGCGAAAAGTTTCAAAGAGAATCATTCACTTCCCAGTCCTGATAGTCCATATATGGAAACTAAATTGCAAAAAACAACCTGTTCTGAAGTCACTGTTTCTGTCATGTCACAAAAACCAATAAATTTACATATATCCACCTCTTCAACCTACAGCAGTTCAGCTACGCCCATTCGCACTAAAGTTATAAGGTGTGTTTCAGCCTGGACTGCTTTTTGAATGAGGCACAATACCAAAAACAGCTTTAATTCTAAGGGATGAAGAGAGGTTTCATCTTGTAAATATTAATTATGACACAAACATATACAAGGATAATATAAATAAAACAAAAAGACAACTGGAAAAAAGGTGATACAAGACAAGTACATTTACGTATACATTCTGGACTGAAATGAAGGCTTCAAGATTGAATAAACGGAAGATTGTTGTGTAAGTGTCACACAGACCTGCGGCCGCTGGCATCTCTGAGGACGGCCGCTCCAGGGTCCACAGCCCGAGCCTCCAGCTCCTGCACCTCCTCCAGCAGAGTCTTCCTCACTGTGCGCCTCCCTCTTTATACACACACCAAAGTGCAAAAGATGATGAGATATTATTCACATTTAATGTTGCCCATCAAAAGTTTGGAAGAAGCTAATACTTTCAGCTGCTTGTGCATCAAAGAGTTCTGCTTAGCTTGAAAAGCAGTGGGGAACCCTCAGGGCCCTCCAGACCTTCAGAGGAGGCATAATGATGTCTGGGAACAAAATGTCTATATAATTTAGTAAATGTTTTGTTTAACAGGGTCATCACACTTGCTGTAAATAAACTCTATAAGTGCTGTAGTAATACTCATATTTCGTTGTTACGTTTTGGTTGGAAACAAAAGGATTAAGATCGTGAGATGAGATAAGAGACTGGAAATTCTATGTACGTCACTGACCGTGAATACGAGACAGAGTCTAACCAGGTTTCAGTCAGTTGTTATAAATGGAACATACTGTAGGAGTCATTGTAAAGCTGTTATATACAAAATATGTTATTGTCTGTTATAAACATACAAATGCAAGCTTCAAATATCCATCTTTAATACAGAACAGTCAAAAAAGTCCAGGTGTGAAAGTGTTTAGCTTTTAGCTTAGTACTAACATTCTATAAGAAATTCCATAGGGGTGCTAGCAAACAATTAGCATTATCTTACCAGTGTTTCTTTCTTGTTTTGGCATTTATGGCCTGAACTAAAGGCCCAGCTCTAATAGTCAGGGTTTACCACTAATAAAAAGTAAAAAAAAAACAATTCTGTCCATACCATTGCCTGTGTAGTACTTTGTCAGTTTCTTCAGTTTTGCAGACGTAAATGTTTTGCAGATATTAAATATGTTACTTTTTTAATTAAAAAAGAAAACGTTCACTGAATGAAAACATTCATAGACTTGAATTTCATGAATGAATTTCATGATGAATTTCAGCTCTAATGCTACCTGTTACAGTAGCTAGCTAGTATTGATGCCATACAAACTACAGACTAACCAATCATTTTAAGTTATTTTGCCTTTTTACCGTAAACACTGCACTTACTGCATGCAGTGCTTCAGTTTGTGTCTTCAGACTGAAGGTTTTTCTATAATGACAGGCTCATCATTTGAAACCGTATAGAACCTGGCAGATTTTTAGTATGTTTACTTTCGCACAATGTAATGCCTGCAGCTGATAATGAGACTATTCTTCCTAAAAACTCAAGACTCGAATTGAAGTCTTGACCCTAGTGACTTGAGACCCGACTCGGACTCGTATGAATCAACATACGAACACCACTGGTGTGCGTTACTCACGCGTTCCATGCCACGTCTTTGAGCAGACACGCCGCAGGCACCAGAATGAGACCCAGCCAGAAGCTCCAGCACTGCATCACTCTGCCAGCCTGCAACAAAACCCCCACAGACAACATTAACAACACCATAACGTCACGACAACACTGGGCCGCTGCTGGGGGTTAAACACTGACCGACAGCCTCCGTCTGTTCTCTGAGCAGCTGCAGCTGGACACAGTGACCTCCGACCCCTGACAAAGTGGGAGGCTAATTATCTCATCAGCTACTATCTCCGGCTCTGACTCCCTCTCTCTCTCTCTCTTTCTCATTCTCCCTCTCTTTCTGTCACCCATCTGTCTTTTTTCCTCCTGTTTCTTGAACCAACAATGTCTTTTACAGAGTGTATCGGTTCTCTAAGACTGACTGCAGAATTCTCTAAGCATGTGCTTCCAACAGTGGTGAAACTTCATGGCTGCGTTTGAAGTCATAATTTAGAATGACAGAGTGAAATACTCAAATACTCATTAAAGTGATCAGTTCAAGTTTACACAGTTTTCTCCCCTAAACCCAAATGTAGCCAATCAGTCAAGACGTTTGATATCTGAGGTTTTGCAGCTATGCAGCTCATGTTAACAAGTAATATAAATCATGCCTAAATCATCACACAACGGCCTCAGACTGTGTTAGGCTGTTAGGCAATCCCTAATAGACATGATAATGTGGTTTCTGAGACTATATGACATACTGTTAAACAAATGGAATTGTCAGATTTTTGCCTTAAACAAATTATCGGTGCAGTTTAATCATAAAAATAAAATGAGCCAGATAAATGCACTCACGCATAAATGCTACAGCTAAACCTATAACAACATAATGTAGCTTAATCACCCATGACTGTCATATATTATCCAAAGCTCACACTGTGCGGACTAAATAATTATCATTTTTTAGTCCGCACAGTGTGAACTTTGGTTTTAAAAAAATCTGCCAAAAAGAAAAAAAAAGAATAATCATTTGCATTCCAGTCCTTTTCGGTGAGTCAGATCAATTAGCTCAGCTCACAAATAACAGCATTCTGTAGCATTGTCAGTGTTCCCAAAACTAGCCATGTTAGCGGTTTTATCTACCATTTAATTTCCTACCTTTATTTTTTCTACATCCTACCTTTTCTTAGTCAACCTTCTAATTAAAGAAGTCACAAAAATACATTTGTTATTCAAAAAACTGAATAAGTCAGATGTTGATAGTTTTTAATGGATGTATTTTGAGAGGCAGGAATCTCAAGATAGGTGGACAAATCTATCAATCAACACAACAAGCAGCAGGTTTGGGGATAACAAGAGGAGGGGATCCTGTGATTTTCAGCGACAGTGTCTGTCATTAGGTCTAGCGATCTGTCTTTTAAATAAAAAATAGGCTCTTCAGCTTTCACTCAAAAGAGCTGACTCAAAGAGCTGACTCACTCACACACATCACTAGAAAAAGAAAGTGGAATTGGAATCAGGCTAAAAAAACATGATCAGTGCTCCCCTACAAAGTAAAGCAGCAGACTTTGGACATTAAACATACCTTAAGTGAATGACTACATGTGGGTTAAGGGGAAAATCGCATATGGGAAGTATGATTGTGAGGTGACTATCACTCTAAACTAGCATATTTTATTCAATGGAACAAGGCTAACGTCACTAACAGGCAATGGTTTTAGCCCACTTTTATAGCTAACAGTGCAAGAAACCACACAATCTTTTTGAGGTCACTTAATGTGGTTTGAGGCAAGAATATAATGATTTAGGTATGCAGTTAGCGCACTGCTAACTGGTGTGGTATAAGCCTCAATTACTTGTGATCTGATGTGACTATCATTCTGAACCAGCATATTTTATTCACCTTAGCTAGGCTAAAGTCACTAACAAGCAATGGTTTAAGTCTGACGTTTATAGCTAACAGTGCATGAAACCACACAATCTTTTTGAGATTACTCATCTCAATGTGGTTCGAGTCAAGAGCGTTATGATTTAAGCATATAGTTAGCACAGTGCTAACTGGTGTGGTATAATCTTACACTACTTGTGAGGTGACTATCACTCTAAACTAGCATATTTTAGTCACTGTAGCTAAGATAATGTCACTAACAAGCAATGGTTTTAGCCCATTTTTATAGCTAACAGTGCAACAAACTACATAGTCTATTTGAGATTACTTAATGTGGTTTGAGGTAAAAGTGTAATGATTTAGGTACGCATTTAGCACAATGCTAACTGCCGTGGTATAAGCCTCAATTACTTGTGATGTGATGTGACTATCACTCTAAACTAGCCTATTTTAGTCACTGGAGCTAAGCTTAATCACTAACAAGCAATGGTTTTTAGCCCATCTTTATAGCTAACAGTGTGAGCAACCACACAACCTATTTGAGATTACTCAAGTCAATGTGGTTTGAGGTAAGAGTGTAATGACTTAGGTATGCAATTAGCACAACGCTAACTGGTGAGATATAAGCTTCCATTACTTGTTGGCTACATTAGCCTTGAAGCTCCAGTAAGACGAGGAGTTAAAGGCTGTTTCACAGCTGACACTCTGATGGAACCTTGACTCAACCTAAAACCCATTAGGAGTTATTTCCTGTGACAGCTGCACACACACCCAGACAGGCCGACTGCCTCCCAGCGCAAACAGGGACGCTCTCAGTTAGACGCACGCCCACACACACAGAAACACACAGAGAAATGTAATATGGAGTGACAGAAAACATTTGTATGGACTGATGGAGGAAACAGACACAAACGCTCATACTGAGCTGCTCTGAGGAAACGAGGAGAATAGAACAGAGGGATAAATGAATTGGGCGAGAGACCTAGAGAGATGAAGAATATGCCATCTCTCTCTCTTTAGCACCCCCATTAGAGAGAGTGAGAGAGACAGAGACAGAGGGAGAGAGAGAGAGAGAGAAAGCAGCTGCAGGGTTACTTGAGCACATTCCTGATTTCTGACACAAATTAAATTAATGGGCTGAAGACCTTCTGAGAACTCTATCCACCATCACCACGCAGGGTCCCATCTTAACATCTCCATAACACACACACATACACACACACTCTTTGGGGAAGTGGAGACCTTGTTCATGTTCAGGGCAAGGGTCCTGAAAATCTGCCACCCTGCAGAGTTTAGGTCCAGCCCTAATTTCACACACCAGATCCAGTTACTCAAGTAGCCCCTGAATATTACAGCCAAGTGTGCTGGAACTAAACTACTGTAAAAGAATCACTGTAAAATTACAGTAAATTTCAGGTTACTAGTTGTTTTACTTTCACAGTAATTTACTGCACCATATTGAGAGTAAATAACAGTAAAAGAGCAACTGTACACTGTGTCGTCTGTATTTTGCTCTACACTTGCAGTAATAAGCGGAAATAAAAAAAAACAGTATAATCTCCTGTATTTTTACAAAACAACTGTAAAAATGAATACAACTCAATAGCCAGTAATTTAATAAATTTACATGTGGTTTGAGGCAAAAAAATGTAATGTTGTCAGATCTATAAATATGTTATTCTTTTACTTAAATAAAGTCAAGTATACACTAAAATAACCTCCAGTGTAAAAATATCTTTAAAACACCAAAACCTGAATTGTCAGAATAAAACATTCAAAATGTTTTTGTTTTTTTACTTAAATTTCTTTATTTAAGAATTTTTAACGCTGTTCGGTGCAGCTCAATGTTTACTTCACCATAATTTGGTTATTACAGAAAATATCTTAAGATGATCTGATTTCATGTTTAATATTGTGAAGTCCTGGAAATAATTAACAGTGTAGGCCCATTACAATTGGGACATAATCGCCTGATCCCAATTATTTAGGCTGACCAAAAGTTATTATCTTTCACAATCATATGTTTACATTGGGATGGGGAACTCCAGTTCTGGATGACCAGATTCCTGCACTGTTTGGTGATTTTCCTGCTCAGACACACCTGATTCAACTCAGCAGTTAATTACCAGGTATAGAAGATGTGTTGGAGCAAGTAAATCTGCAAACTGTGCTGGACTCCTGCCCTCAGTTCCCCATGCCTGCTTTACATCATGGAAAACGCAATGTGAATGGGCTGCATTTTCATCCGTTGAAGCAAATATATGTTAATAAAAGAAAGCAGAAAAGCCATAGGTCTTACAAAACTATGAATGTTCTTTAAAGTTCTTCTTCTGACTTTTGTTACACCTTCAGAGGGCAGCTTGTTTGTTTGTTTGAGCTGAAGCTGAAGTTGTCAGCTAGGAGCTACTCTAAGTATTGACAGCTAGAAAGCTAATCTGCCACAATTATTTATATGGCAATAAAGCAAAAATTTCGGGATTCTGACAGGCCTCCACAGGCATATTCATTAGGACTTGACTGATATGGAAATTCTGTCACCAATATGGTTTGATTTGAAGGAGCTAATAATTCTAATAACCAATAACAGCAGTGGATATAGTTTTATATCAAACAATTTTATACACACTCCTATTATTCTTGGTAATCAATGCTTTACTGACTGATATGACTGTCAATAGTCAAATATAACAATCTCAATTAACAAGATCTGTTACAATACTTGAACTCAACAGCAGAAACTCTTTAAATAAGAAGTCTTAAATAACATAAATAATGTACCATGTGGGGCGGAGCTTCCAAGCATTCTTAGCATTCTCAGCTCTTAATTTTCTTATTTTCATTTTTTTGCATAGAGCTTTTGTTCATTGCAGTATTGCTGTAATAAAGCAGCTAGTGACTGTCAACTTTGCAGCCTCTGTAAAGTACAAAAGACCATAACATTTTTTTCTCAGGTTAAAGGTGAGAGTTCATTATAATATAAAGCAACATTCAAAGCAACAGTATTAGATGTTTTTATTATATTATTATACTGTCATATAAAGCAACTTCAGTGGGATATATGGATCATTCTATGGAGTTACTTCAGAATCAGAGCTGAAAACACATTTTGGATAATTGACTTGAATTTAGACTAAAATCTTTTTGCTTTGAGTGACCCTATACCATAATTATGTAAATAAAGTTTTTAGTTAATTTTGAGTATAACTTAAAAATGCCAGCCAATACATGACTAGCAAACACAACATTGAAGCATAAAAAAATCACTACGTGGCCACAATGGACAGGGATCCAGTCTCACTTTCAGCTCTAAAATGCAGGGGTGTGGCTAAAATAAGGCTCCGCCTACAGACTAAAACTCTTTGTTTTGGTAGTGACATAAAAACATGGAGCAGTATTTTTGTTTTTTTTATTTAAATATTAAACTCATGACAAATAAAAATCGCTCAACTTTGAAAGGAATCAAAAAGTTAACAAAAAAACAATAAACAAAATTAAAAAACAACAAAACTTTAAATATTACTTTCACAAATTTAGGGCTTAGCCACCTTTTTTTTAAATAGTTTTGTTTTACTATGGGACCACAGTTTGAACTAATTCGGTAGAATGGCCCAAATACCAACACTGACAAATTTTAGTATCAGCTTTTATCACTGACGAACTGATATATCGGCCGGCCCTAACATACACTTGCGATAGCTCCACAGAGGTCAGGCCGGCGTCTCCTGAGCAGGCCGTAAAGCCTGGGGCTCGGGTGACTGAGCGGCAGGTGCAGGGTGTGCTCAGGCAGGGCCGGAGGACATAAATCTCCCCTGAGCTCCGGCAGTGCTGACACAGAACACCCAGAGAGCAGGCCAGCGTGAGAGAGACACTATAAAAGTGATTGTATGTGTGGGGGTACTTGCCTGGCCCAGCATGTCTGGGGCTATGGGAATGTGCGGCCAGATAACAGAATAAACGGCGAAGAAGAGCATCCAGAGCACCATACTGCCCCATACAGCCAGGTGAGAGAACTGCAGAAGGAGTGGAATGAAGGGGGAAAGAGAAAAAAAGCACCATGGTCATTCTCACACACAGTACAGACCCTGAATATAGACCCATTTCAGACAGGGGACACATCTTTCTCTCTCTCTGTCTCTCTGTAATGGGACACTGTGTGAATTCTTCAGGGAGTCTGCTTCATTATAAGGGCAGGAGTGTGTGGACAGCTGAGCGGACAGGCGGTGTCGACGCCAACCCCCCCACACACACTCACAGTGGATGAATGGTTATGTCCTGCCATGGCAGCAGTGTACATGGATGTAGTGTAGTATATGTCCTATCTATCTAAAGCGCTGGCAAATCCCCAACATATTTTCTAGTCTACTGCCCATAAAGCAGTAGACACTGAATCCAGCGCACGGAATAAGTCACATTCACAGTAACCTCTCCAGCCCCTGCGTGTGTAATAACGTGACCTCATGGCACTTTAGAAAACAGATTATGCTTAATACATCCTATTTGTTTGGAAGGTCTTTCGTCTTAAATGAGAACATTTTCAGGACAAAAAGGTCCAAAACAGGCCAGCAGAATATGGGACAAATTATTATTACATATGGGTACATATATACAGGACTTCTGAGCAGCAGTGTACATATAATACATATGGGACATGTTATTATTACATGTATATACACACACACATATATGTATATATATATATATCGTTGTTGTCAGAAGAAAACCTATATAGTCACTGTTGGAACGACACCTTGTATCTCCATTTATACCGCTGTTCATTTTTTCACATGATTGTAAAACGCCAGTTTCTCTTTACATTGCATCAAAATTTCATGATGAATGGACCAACAGAAACGGTTTCAAAATGACTTAGAATAAGATCTTGTTCCATTGATTTCCATTCAGAGTTAATGATGTTTTTTCCTATTTTTGTAAAGTTACCTTTTTGGAAATACAAGGTTTTGTCCCGACAGTGATGAAATGAATAATACACATGGGACAAATGCATGACCCCGACATCCTGACACTGTACAAAAACAAATGTGTGTGTGTGTCTGTGTGTGTGTTTATTTGTACAGACACTGACCCTTGTCCATGCTGTGGTCTCCATACCAGCTTTCAGACATACTGTGACCACCACATACTGCAGAAAAAAACAGAGAAAGAGAGAGAGAGAGAGAGAGAGAGACAAAGAGAGAGAGAAAGAATCAGTGGATCATGAATAACAGTAATCATACACGCTCATTATCCTGTTAAAACATTCAGTTAAGCCACACACACACACACACACACACACACACACAAGAGTAAAGCATTCGCACAGACACACAATGACTATCGCCTTTAGCAACAAACCAACACAGCTTTCAAAACAAGCAGAAATACATACACATACTGCTTACAGCACACACACACACTCATGCACTTGAGAGGAACAGAAGAGAAAAGCCAGAAGACAGACAGACTCAAGCCCCATGAGAGCAATTCATTATGCCTTTAATGGCTGGTGTCTAGCATCTCCTCCAACATCTCCTACATATTTCACACTGTCTGGCACACACACACACAGGCTAATTTTTTAGTAATGAAACATATGTCTAAAAACACAGCAGCAAACCTAATGACTGCAGGAAGTCTCATTACGAAAAAACAACGTCTGGCTTCTGAGAACTGATGAAATCGTATGATTTCAATCCAAACCATGTCTGAGGAATAAACTATACAGATTCCTGGACAAACTGCAGCCCTATGACAAATGGCGGGTACTGCGAGTCATTGGCACAGGTTCCATTTCAACGTTGGGGGGAACACGCTGCTCAAACTACGTGACCCATGACATGTTTTACACACTGTAAAAAATGATTAAAATGCAAATAACCTGGTTGCCTTAAAATGCTGAGTTCACTGAACCTCCAATAGTAACTCAACAAAACAATAATCAGTGTTTTACCTTCTGTTAAATTCAGTTAATTAAAAACTTTAAGGCAATCAAGTTACATATTTTTTTTTAGGTTAAAACACAATCATTTCTTTATAGCATTCTAATTATTAGAGTTGAGTAAGTTACATTACGGATGTGCTGTTAAACAGTTATTGAATATGCAAAACATTCTTAATTTGAACACTTCCAATTACTATAATTACACAGTGATTACTTATGAATGTTATTATCCGCCTCTGTTGATGAGTTTGTAAAGCAAACAGTGCTTGAAAAATGAGCCTTTGAAACGTTGTGTGGCCTCTGATTGGCCAGCAGGGCAATGATGTCACAATGGGTGTGCTGTGATTGGCTGGAAACTCACCGTGTAGACAATGTTTCCCACAAACAGGTAGTCCACGCTGTTGCCATTCCCGAACGGGGTGTCTGCACACACACACACACACACACCACACACACACACACACATACACACACATACATACATACACACACACATACACACACAGGAGACAACATACTTAAAGGGGAATTTCACGCATTTAAAAAAAAGTGCATTATTCAATTGATAAGATGTGAACAAAGTCATTCAGTGCTATATGGGGCCGCCCCTTCAGAGGTTATGACAGCCAACGCAGTAGCATCTTTGGTGGAAGCCGCAAATTTGTGTTTCAAAGTTCACTGAAGTTGAACTTGGTACAGAAATTTGCATGTGAAATTTATATAACCCAAAGTCATCATGGCAGTTCCATTGAAATTAATGTAATTTTGTGAAGATTCGCTGGCAAACACAACTGTGACTGGGCCTATTTTTATGATGAATTCACAGTGCAGACTGGATTTCCATTCAAATGTATTGCAAATTTTAACTGAATTTCTAAAAAGGTGGTAAGGGAAAACAGAAGTTAATCAGTGTTTCCATGAACTATGGTTATATACAGTTATACAGTTAAACTCCCGAAGATGACATCACACACTTGCAACCTATAGCGCAAAGAGACAAGAGGTGCGCTCCATTTACGTGTGGTGGCTTTCTGTCTTTTACGTAGTGGCAGGGGCAAAGGCACCCGTTGAAATGGAGTGTCACCTGTGTCTAAGGTAAATTGTTATATAACATATCTACAATTAAAAACTAGATTCAGAAAGTACATTTTAATTTTAACATTCTTTGCTGTGAACCTCTGCATAGCCTTTCATGTGTCGCTTATGAATAGAGTGAAAACCTGCTCACAACTGTGCTGCAAACATGCTGTGCATGACGTATACAAAAGAAGAATTTGAACTTTTATTAACTCTCTGTAGAACAGTTTTGACAGTCCTCTGTCAGCTATGGCGTGATGGCGCGGAACAGATTGATTCATTTCGGCGCCCATGTTAACAGGTCAGCGCTTGTACACAGGCCACACGAGCGAAGCAGCAGAGCATCCCAGAAGCAGGCCGGGATTTAGAGAATAGACCAGTCACGTTTTTTCCGTGTGCATCATGCAGCAAAATACACTGAAATAAGCCATGAAAATCAATGAAAATTAAACAGACTTTAAACTTTCTGTGCTGCCAACAGATTTCCTGGTTGAAAATTTTGCCTAATCACAAGTCAGAATGCTGTTGAGGATAAACAAATGCAGTATGCACTTTTATAAATTATATTTTTATTGAGTCACTCTGCAATTTATGCATCTGGAAAATGTCTGTATAACTTTCTCGCTGCTCTGCTCCACAGCACAAATGCTGCATGAAAGGCCAGCTGCCGTATCGCTCGCGCCACCCAGGTAGCATGTGTGAATCAGACAAGTTCAGATGCCAGGCAGAGTGGGCAGGAGACCATTTAATGAGGGCTGAAGTTGCTGATCCACTTCACCTCATCAGCCACTGAACCCCTAAAAATGCCACTGGGGCAAAGACTTTTGAGAGGACGCATGACGTTTGTTCCTGCTATGTCAACACTTCCGAACACTTACGTTTCCCTTACTGGTTTTAGGCATTTGAACTTTATAGATAAACCACCCTTTCCACCTCATCCCAATGTAAAAACATTTTTTTTTGCAATATTTAGGATTTTTTATTTCTCCTTTTTCGTCCAGGTTTTTTTATGTGCGTTTTCAAAATTCGCAAAAAAAGAAAAACTTCTTTACCACTTTTTTACCATCATCAACTACATACAAATGCAGAAGACTCATGTAGGTTCACTGGTGGTTTGGGAGGGCAAATAAAATGGATAGGTTTATGTTGTAGACATCATGACCCCTGTTTCCTATCACCTACAATAAACCAATTCACTGCAAACCACCCTGAATGACTCTGTTTGCATCTAGTTCATTGAATTATGCAGGAATTCTGAAACATTGGTGGAATTCCCCTTTAGGTTTTCATGATGCTGAAGGCTCAACTTGGGAGGTTTGTGTGTGTGTGTGTAGTCATGAATGAGTTAGTTACCATGCTCCAGCACTTTTAGTGGAAACCAGAAGAGGATGATGGAATGGATAAGAGCATTTATACAGTGACCCCAAAACACCTGAAAAGAGAGAGAGAGTGAGTGTGAGAGAGAGAGAGAGAGAGAGAGAGACGAGAGCCAATCAAGACAGTTCATTGCCAAAAAACACACAGCCCACACAAACAGCTCTTCTACAGTTATACAACCGGCACAGTGTCCTCCGCATTACCTTTAAAACAAACACGCTCACACGCTCACGAAGCCTCCCCCCGTAAATGAATGACTTCCTTATTCTATCTCCCTGAATCTCATTATAATCACCATGGTAACAGCACCGTCTCACCGTCTCTCAGTTTACTCACTGAGATCCTAGGGGTCTAAACAGCCCCCAGACATGAGCAATCCATCACTGAGTCACGATCACAGCCTGTCAATCAGTGCTATGAGGGAAACCCACAATAGCTATATGGGTTACTCTAACTGGGTAATGTAGAATAGGTAAAAATGCAGACTCATGTTTTTGGCAGATAAAAGATCCAAATTAAGCCCAATTAAATTAGCACTTTTTTAAGGCTATTTATTTACACCACATCTTAGCAAGCAATTTAAATGCATGCAGTGTGGAACTATTTTAACTCCTTAAAATGACCTAACAAAGCCAACAATTCACAGATTTTATATTTTGTGTTATATCTTTATATCTTTCTGCACAAGAAAACATGAATAAGGAATATACTTCACATGTCAGTAGTCTTTTATTGCTAATTAATTGGTCAACTGCTAATTATTGCTGGTTAGACAAAACACTAATAGGTGCTTATTAATTTCAATTGCATTCTGAATGCACTTGTATACAGTGTAATTAAAACACCATGCGTTATTTATTATGTATAGATTATTTATTATGTATAGATTATTTATTATTTTATTTTATTATGTATTTTTTAAAAACGTAGTTTACAGTGTATCGCACTACATACATACTAAAGCTGCGACGTTACTGACACATTTTGAAGTCCTACACAACTAAAGAATATGGTTCTTCACAGGTTCTTTAGTAAACACAATGGTTCTATACACTACTGTGAGTTGTATATAGAACCATTTCATGCTTAAATACTTCTTTGCATGGGTAAATGGTCATGCAAAAAAACCTTTAAGTATGAAATGGCTCTATATAGAACTCATAGTTCTATATAGAACCATTGCCTTTACTAAAGTACCCTTAAAGAACATTTTAAGTGTAGGGAACACAGTAAAATATTAAAAATGTTTGCATGATAATAAAATTGAGCGTTAAATTAAACATTCAGCAAAGTTTGAATGAAAGAAAGAACACAGAAATATAATAAACATGACTTTTAAAAGACCTGTCAATCGAGTCTGGGCGTGGCCTAATATTCTGATTATTGCATGATTGACAGCCCACAGTCCTAAACTCACAGTGAAGCTTATATGTGCTGTTGTAGACCTCACTGTGACTGCAGCTCTCTAAAAACATCACCCAGCTTTTATATGTCAACGTCTCATAGAAGGTAAGGTTCTTATTCACTTCAGTGCTGAATGTACGTACAGAGTGTGCTGTCATGGCCAGTTGATCAAACAAACAGACAAATGGACAAATGGATGTTCTTGCTAGCTTAGTTATGCTTGCTAAGTTAGCATTTGTTTCTTAGCTTTCTTGTGGTACATTTCTTGGATTTGAACAGAAACAAAGAGACCGTTGCGGAACACAGTTTTGTTAAAGTTGTGTGGGCGGGGCAACCCACATTAGCCCTGGGTTTGGTCAGGGTACTGCTTACATATAGACTATACAAGATCAGGACCGAATAGTTTGCATCAAGAGAGGACAATGTTGGCAATCGGCCATTCATGGGGACATACTTCGTACATGTTTACTGTGACCTCACAAGAGCAAGATTAACTTGCTTAGAAAGAAAACATGAATTTAGGTTCCCTGGGGCTTCAAATAATTGTCAGCCCAGCATGTCTTACCATGTTGAATCTGTACTCACTATTGACAGATATTAGTCAGGGGTTGGTCTAGACCTCTTAGTTCCAGTGGAGGGAAATCTTAATGCTTCAGCAGACCAAGACATTCTGGACAATTATATGCTTCTAATTTTGTGGGAACAGTTTGGGGAAGAACCTTTTCTGTTCCAGCATGACTGAGCCCCAGTGCACAAAGCAAGGTCCATAAAGACATGGCTGGGTGAGCTTGGTGTGGAAGAACTTGACTGGCCCGCACGGAGCCCTGACCTCAACCCCATCAAACACCTTTGAGATGAAATAGAACGGAGATTGTGAGCCAGGCCCTCTCGTCCAACATCAGTATCTGACCTCACAAATGCTCTTCTGGATGAATGAGCAAAAATTCCTGCAGGAACTCCAAAATCTTGAAGAGACTAGAATGGGATGTCATAAAAGCTCCTGTAGGTGTGATGTGTAGGTGGCCCAATACCTTTGTTCATATAGTGTACCTATATGTTTTATTCAAAACCGCTGCAGCAACTTCAGCGGCCTTAAACTCTTTGCACACCATTTCACACGTGTGTCCGATGTCAACTGAATGAAGAATGAAGGGCTTGTGACATGATGGGTCAGTCCTTATGATTTCATCAGTGTCCACTGGTCAGTTTCACACAAAATGTGATGTGAGTCACGTACGATCGAGCAATAAGATGGAATTGAAAGGGCGACTTTACAGATTCAGAAAATGTTTGAACGATATTATAGCACTGTATTATCGCAAAGATAGGGAAAAATATATGGAAATATCAACCCCCAGAGGGTTAAATGATTCAGACTGTTCGGGACATCTCCAGTGTGCGTGGTATGTTTGTGTGTATGTTATTGTATGTTGTTACCTTGGTGTTGAATCCATCTGCGTTCTGTGTGATGCGGTAAAGCTGCGGGAACCGCAGCATGTTCTGTTGGCTGCACGGTCGATCGAAAATACCCAACGTGAAGGGAGGGAGTGCGGTGAAAATCTGAAACATACACCACACGTAACACACAAAAAGACATCAACATGAGACGACACTGGTCAATAATTTATACAAAAGTATTTATACTGTTAAACCCACAAGCACTGCAAATAATCTGGCATGCACTCTGTTTGCAGGCAGCTTATAGTCTGGCTAAAAAAACATAAACAAAGGGGAAATTGCATCAGTGCACATTTATGTCAGCCTTATATGTATATACTGGAAATACACAGAGAAATGAAGGTCAAACAAAATCTGAGCACTTGTATACAGATCAGGGATTTTGATAATAGAGGAATATTTATGAATACTTGAGAGAGAGAGAGAAATAGTACTGAAAGATGAAACTCACCACATTGTAGAGGCCAATGCACCAGCGCTCAAACAGGATCTGCCCAGAGAAGCCATTCACAAAGGCAAACCACAGCTGGAGGAGGGAGAGGGAGGGTTTAGGTGTGGAACGACAGAGGACAGAAAGGAAAAAGAGCAGAGACAGAAAGAGAGAGAGAGTGAGAGAGAGAGAGAGAGAGAAAGCACAAGATAATAAACTCTAGTGATGAAGATATTCTTCAAGAAAACATCAAAACACTTTGACTCTTACATGACAGCTCACACACATAAACACAGACTCACTAAGCACATGCACACACACACACACACACACACACACACACACACACACACACAAACACACACATAAACACACACACACACACACACACACACACTTGCTGTCTATCCCCCCCTGCTGTGTTCCGCCACGAAGACAAAGACAGTCTGTGACCTTTAACCTCAAAAGCTCTTCTCTGCTAGCAGCTAATCCTCCCTAATAACCCCCTCCCCACCACTCCCCTCCCACACACACACACAAATTCAAATGCACAAAATGAGGGGCTTACAGAACAGCGCTTATTCTAAAACACAAACAGCCAATTAAACACATTCCCACTTTTCTCTATTGCAGTCAATGCACTTCAATATACATATTACTGGTATATTATTGTAAGGCCTAATGATTTTCTTTGAAATAAAAAAAATGGAATTTAAATTTTTTTTATTTAATTTAATCATCATGTCTGTTGTATATAAACTCTACAGCAAGTGTCTTTAATTAAAATTCTGTAAGGTCCAGTTAAAGAAAATTTCCTCAAGCAAAGGTCCGGAACATCATAATGTCTAACTTGCATCATGATTCAGTGCCATATACTGTAAACTGAAGTATCCTAGTAGTTATATCAACATCTTATGTAGTCAACAACTGAATATCAAACCAAATATAGTACAATTCAGTAATATTTCAACAACATTTATTGTCAGTTTCCTTTTTTTAGAGCGCGGCATGTAAAATAATGACTTTCTTCTCCGACTGCTGTTTCTCGCCTCGTCCCTCCCCTGTGTGTGCGTCACTCACTCGAGTCTCAGAGCTCATCGTAATGCACAGATCTGACTGGCTGAGTAGCGTCACGTGTGATATTTTCAACGCATGCGATTGGTCTGTGAGTTTCCCAGGCCGCTAAACCAGTACAGTAATGACTAGAAATTACACACCGATTAAAATGGGACCACCCGTCGAAATTAATTAATTCTTAATAGTTTATCGGTTATAAGTCCAGGTCCACATAGGACAGCGTCTGGGTCTGGACTCGGACCTCTGCTCTACAGAGCCACATCCTTTCAACGAAAATCAAACCACCTTGGCAGCCACAACATTGTATGACCATTTTATTGGTTTTACCATCATGACTGTAAATACTTTTCCTCAATAGTAGAACAGCTTCTTGTAAAATGTGTCTCAACGTTTGACTTTTTACGAGGCTGAAGACGCTTCTCTCTCGCCAGCTTCTTGTTTGAATTTTCCTGTTCCGCCTTAAATGGTGCCTGAGGAGCCAGAAAGCGACTTCAGCTTCACAACTTTTTAGGGTTTGACAGTTTTTTTGTTGCAGATTAAATGTATCACGAAACCAGCTGGTGAGTGCTTATAAATGCAAATAAGTCCATTTATCTCCAAATTATCGTTTTCATCTTAAATTTTTCTCTCTGCCTTGTCGTTAGCTACTAGCTAGGCGAGATTTTGGTCTGCGTTGCTATAGTGACCAGCAGTCTGCGCACCAACCTTCAGTGTTAAAGGGTGAATTAGCAGTTATATATTAACTCCAGCATTTAAGACCATTTATTGTGAAAACTCTGTTAGAACTGTGTTTTACTTTATTTTACTGCAAAGGAGGATTGTTTTATTTCTACCTAAAAATCTAGTTCTGCTGTGAAGCTGCAACAGGGCAGTAGAAGAGCTGCATGTTGCCGACCCCTGGTCTAGACGAATTTGGAGTGAATGTCACGGTTATGTCACTGGCAGTGAAACTTACACTGTTCTAACATACAGTGAACAGTGAAAAGTGTTAATATTAATCCAGCCTTGCAACTGCAGTCGCTGTCAGTATATAGTTGTTTGACTTGTTTAGAGGTGCCCACATCATGTGTAGCTGTGTTTTATGTCTTTGGTGCTGGTTACGCAGTACATTGGGAGAAAAATGATCACCACATACAAACTATATGTTAATCTGTCTGAAGCTTAAAAACTTTCTTTTACAAGCTTCAAATGTCTGAGTTTAATCTAGAATGGGCAAAAATATGCATGCCAATTGCCGTCAGCTTAACGCTAACAAACTATTAGAATCCCCTAGGGTTGCTAGCAGAACTGCATATTATTGTAGAAGGTTTTTTACTCGTTTTGACATTGATGTCTCAAGCTGAAGGCCTAGCACTAATTGCCATAGTTTGCCACTAGATGTACTATATATACCATGTCTGTTTTCTATATTTATTTTATATAAATGTAAAGATCTTGAAGACTATTCTGAAGATTCCAAAACAGTGTTGTGCTACTACCCCCTACAACCCCTCCACACACACACCACACACACACGCAGGAGGTGGGTCATGTTGCTGCACCTGCTGGCATCTTTAAAAAGGGGCACAGCTGACAAATGCCCCAGTGGACAGGAGGGTAACCCTGTCAGTAAAACTCACACTCTACCTTTTCTGTCACACACACACACACACACACACACACACACACACACACACAGCTACTGACCCTCATCTACACTGGCGGAGCCCTCCCAGTTCAGAACATACCAGAGACACTGTCATCCGAGAACAGAGTGTGTGTGTTTGTGTGTGTGTGTGTGTGACAGAAAGCAGAGACTGGAAAGGGGGTGCCTCATCTATCACTGTCAAACACTTCTACAAACAGCTGCAAAACGTCTCTCTCTAATGTACATGAGTGTGTGTGTGTGTATGAAGTAAAGCTGAATTAGTTTTATGTAACTAAAGACATTTAAGTTAAACACATTCCAAAAGCATTCACACAGCACTGTGTCTCATAGAATACCAGGCTTAACTCTAAAACTCTCTCTCTCTCTCTCACTCTCTCTTTAACAAACACACACACACACACACACACACACACACATACAAAAACATGCACACGCACACACACATACACACACTTCTGTTACTGTCTTTTCATTCATGTCATCCTTGGGGTCTGGATTTTGTGTAATGAACACAAGTCCCCACGATGATAGGAAGACCTGACAATTCTCACACTAATGGGTAGTGATGGGTAATCTTCATGATACAATAGAATACAATATGATAGGATATGATACAATATGATACAATATGATGACGCAACACACCAGCGTTCAGCAGACAGTTTTTGTTAATGTTTTTAAAAATAACTATGACAGTATTGAATAAGCTAATAATGTTGTGAAAACATTAATTATAAAACCTACAGTATACAAATATACAGTCTTCACAAAAGTAACAGCACAGGCCATAGTCAGTATGAAGACACTAGGAGTGTACAATCAGACTCGGCCAAGACCAGAATTGACAGATTTTTTTACTCTAAACCTGTGATCAGCCAATTTATTATTTCGCTTTTGGCCGATTTGTTCTTATACAAAATTATTAAAATAAGATAAGATAAGATAAGATAATCCTTTATTAATCCCACAACGGGGAAATTTGCGGTGTTACAGCAGCACAGAAGACAGAGCAGCAGGAAATATACAAACAATATTAATGTTGTGACTTTAGTGAACAGAAAATGCTGGTAATGGGCTAGCGCATTTCAGTGTCAGCTTCAGGACAAAAAAGACTGGCTTATAAAAATTGGCCAAAAAATCAGTCATCAGCCAACTTGGCTGTATTGAAAGTGGAAATGAAATTGGCAATAATAATTCATGATGGGTGCCTCCCTAGAGGACACTTAGCCTGTGTGTGTATGAGAAAGACTGAAATAATAACATTAAACAAAATGTTCACAAAAAGTGAAGAGATTTCTTCTTCAATGCAGCCATTTATATTTATATAATAATATTAGATAAGATAAAACCCTAAATCTGAATGCAGTATCAGTTTTACTTGTGCAAACACGTCTCGTATAAAAGTAGATTCATGAATATCAATACAGGCATCAGTGTATCAATATGCCTGTTGCAACAAGCTTATCCACAAGTACAAAGTGCAAATGTACAAGTGACCCCAATGTTACACACGCACACACACACACACACACACACACACACACACACACACACACACACACTCCATTGACTAGGTCATAAAATATTTTCAATTTTGAACATTCTAAGATACTATTTTGAACATATGAATATTTTGTAGGATTCATAAACCATCATCATTATTATTATTATTATTAATAATAATAATAATAATAATGAATCATTTTGTAGCATTTTGAATTAGGTTCATTGTACCATTGCATAATAATTGTTTGAACTAATTTTAATTGAAAACCTCTGTGTGCAGTAAGGCCAGTGAACGTACCTCTATAATGTAAAGCACCACATTCTTATAGAAACAGTACAGGATGCATTTAGTAACGCGGTTATAGCTCCAGGCTCCATGAACCAACAACAGCTTCTCCAGGTACGAGAACTACAGAGAGAAAGGGAGGCAAGGAGAGAGAGAAGGAGAAAGAGAGCGACAGAGAGAGAGAGAGTGAATCTCCTCATGGACCCCATGCCCACAGCAACATATGTAAGCCATTAGTACAGAAGCACCGAGATACAACAACACTGTGGGCTAAATTGTGTGTGTGTGTGTGTGTGTGTGTGTGTGTGTGTGTGCGGCTGGTGGTTATTTTGTGTGTTGGTCTAATTATGTGTAAGTTTAAAGATGAGATTTTGAAAGTGAAGCTTCAGAGTACTATAATGACCGTGTGTGTGTGCGCCTATGTGTGTATGTGAGCATTTCAGAAGTACCAGTTACTAAACACAAATACTAAATGTTAAAAATGAAAATAGTGTAAAATCTGTTTTTTTTTCAAAATTTGTACTGTTTTAGTTCATGCTCTTACTGGTGATGTGTGTTGCTGTACAAGGATGCAACACACTGCTGACATTTCTCAAATGTCTCCAGCCTCCTGGTCACTGGCCTCAAAAGCATTTGTAGAATTTCAGCACGCGTTTTGAAGAAAATCCTGTGTGTTGAAAGTCTTTTAGGAGCGGCGCTGAACCCACTAGCACGCTGCAAAGCACTGACTCTGCTGGCAGTCACGTTTCGAAATGAGGTGTGTGAGGATCTCTAAAGCTAAATCCCTGCTCTGATTACACTGGATGGTGTATTTAATTCTCTGACAGGCTAACAAACGATGACAAAATAAAAAAAAACAAAAAAACTGTAGAAATAAAGGCAAATGAACGTCGATCTGTATATACTGATTTAATGGACAGTGTTTATGTAAAATATAAAAGCATTTATATTGCTTCTGTGCTGTCCTGAGTTACTTCTAAATTGAAAATAACTGAAAAGTTTAGCTCGCTAACATCGTCACTAATCAAGATTCTTAAACCAGCATTCGATACATGTCAAAGCCACCTATCTAACAATTTCTAAATGCCAAACAGTGCTGCTAACTAGGAGAGAGGAGCTGGTTAGTCTTAGCTTAGCTAGCATGATAACAACACTACTCACCACAGAACATATTCAATTCTGGCTAACTGAAGCCACAAACTTAGATGATGACGACTTAAATCTGAGGGAGTGAAGTCGATCAGCTGGCATGGAAGAGACAGAAAGGTGAAAATAACCTTGTTCTGTGGTGTTTAGATCTGTACCTTCATCTGATAATTTAACGTTAACTTAGCGAGTAGGCTACAGACCCAAACTAACTGCTGCTCTGCTGACACAAGTGTAGATGATAAAAACTCCTGTCTGAGAGAGCAAAAGTGGAGTGGCTGGTGTTGGAATGACAGAAAGCTGAAATCGAACCTGTTCTGTGGTGTTTGAGACTGCAGCATTTTGGCTAAGCTAACGAGAGCTTAGTTATCAGGCCAAACGTGCTACACACCACAGCACAGGCTTGGTTCCACCTAACAGGACCTAAAATGACACCCATTTAGAGGATGTCTGAGGGCACAAAGTTGAGTGACTGGTTGGAATGAAAACTGAAACCAAGCATGTTCTGTGGTGTGTGTGTAGCTCTTAGCCACTGCTGAGCTGCATTCATGCTAAGTTTTTCTGCTTTTTTCTGGCTCTGATTTTTCTTCTCTTTCTATCAGCGAAGGGTGACCAGATATCTGAAATGAAAACTGGGGACATTTCCAGTATAGCCCAACAGCCAGACCCTAAACACACCCCTGGGCTAGCTCCAGTTCTGAGACAGAGACGGCTGCTATCAACATATGCCATATGTCATTTATGAATGGCTGAAAAAGTGACACAGTTTTAAAAAAATGATGCAGTATTTGTAGATCGCATGGTAGCCTACATTGTACGCCTACACAAATCATAGCTTACCAATCACCTGAAAGTACAATTCAAATCCTGTAACCCCATCCCAGCTTTTAATCTCTGGGTTAAATGCGGCCAGGTCTTGTTTAGGGCTTTTCAGTGTGTTTTTAATTCATAGTTAAAAATGGGGACATTTCTGGGGACAACACCAGCCAGGGACAGACCACCAAAACCAAGGACTGTCCCCGGAAAACAGAGATGTCTGGTCACCCTATATCAGCACCACCTATCTGTGAGCTCGCAAATGACCAATCAGTGAGCCCCTCTAAAATATAAATGGGTGGAATTTGTTGATTAAGCCATTCAGACAAAAAATTTATACATTATAATTATGAAATATCATCATTTTTAAATACATCATCATTTTAAATACTGCAGTAAACCTTATTACCGTAATACCCCTCAAGCCTATCCTATGGCGGCCCTTTTCCATTGACAGACAGGGTTGAAAGGGGCTCATAAATTGTGCAGCAACAGATGGGCTATCATCAGTATTTGTAAACCTACACAGTGCACTTATGTAGTAGGTGTTTCTGATAAAATAGCTAATAAGTGTACATACAAAGTAAGTGTACCTAATAAACTGGAGACTTGTGCTTCAAAGTAGTCGAATGAGCTGGTGTGTGTGTATGTGCGTACCTGTGCTATAGAGTAATCAGATGAGTTTGTGGCCTGCATGCCCTCATTGCCACTGATGCCCACTCCTACATGAGCAGTCTGGATCATTCCCACATCATTCGCTCCGTCTCCGATGGCCAGAGTGATGGCCTTTACATGTTTCTTCACCATGTCTACTATCTCTGACTTCTGCAGAGGAGACACCCTGCAAACAGACATACACAAGCTGTGTCAAACTCCCATAGTACTTCCATAGTGTACTAGTCACTTTTACGGCATTCCACTTTAAAATGGATGTAGTGTACAAAAAACACACATGATTCACTAGTAAAAACAAAAAATGAAGTACAGCCATTACAAACAGTTTGCACTCAGCGAGCTTCACCTCGCTATGTAGGATGATGTCATCGGTTGATAAAGGTTATAATATACACACTTATGGCTGTTAAATGCAGTGGATCAGAGAAAGCAAAAAGCAGAGGGTGAACATTTTGGGAAAGAAATTTAAAATGAAAAAAAGACAGTGAAGTACATGAAGAAGTGTAAGCATATAATTCACAGTGTAAGGGGCATAGTGTAAGAAAATAGTGCATAATGTAATGTGTAAGAATACAGTATAATAATACAGTGTAAAGTGTAATAATATAGTGTACAGCGTAATAATATAGTGTACAGCGTAATAATAGTGTAACAATATAGTGTACAGCGTAAGAATACAGTGTAATAATATAGTGTACAAAGTAAGAATACAGTGTAATAATACAGTGTATAGTGTAAAAATATAGTATAACAAAGTGTAAGAATACAGTGTAATAATATAGTGTACAGTGTAAGAATAGTGTAGTAATGTAATGTAATGTGCAAGAAGACAGTGTAATAACAGTGTGAAGTGTAAGAACACAGTGTAATAATACAGTGTAAAGTGTAAGAATAGTGTAATAATACAGTGTACAGTATAAGAATACAATGTAATAACATAGTGTACAGCGTAATAATATATTGTATAGAGTATAATGTAAGCATACAATTTATGGTGCACAGTGTAAGAATCTAGTGTAAAAATTTAATGTACAGTGTAAGACCTTTGTGTAGGATTATAGTGCATAGTGTATACTGCAAGCATACAGTGTAAAGTGCACAGTGTAAGAATACAGTGTATAGTATAGGAATATAATGTAAGGCTGTAGTGTATAGTGTAAGAATGTAGTGTGCAGTTAAGAATATTGTGTATAGTCTAAGACTATTGTGTCTAGTATAAGAATATTGTGTATAGTCTAAGACTATTGTGTCTAGTATAAGAATATTGTGTATAGTGTAAGACTATTGTGAATAGTGTAAGAATATAGTGTACAGTGTAAGACTATTGTGAATAGTGTAAGAATATTGTGTATAGTCTAAGACTATTGTGTCTAGTATAAGAATATTGTGTATAGTGTACAGTGCAAGAACACAGTGTACAGTATGAGGAATATAGTGTATAGTGCTGGAATGAGACACTGCTAAACCTGTCTAAAACAGTGGCTCCAAAATGATCCAATCAGTAGCATTCGAGTGCTATGCAGTCATGAGGATAAAGATAGCAATGCAATGATAAGACTGATGTAGGCTGCTCTCTCTCTTTCTTTTTCTACATCATTTCTTTTCCATTCCTCCTCTCCATGGCCCATTTATTGATACACCTGAACAGAGTTGAAAAGACTGTGGAGCAGAAAGACGGACACTTCCTTTACTCTGCTCAAACTACTGGGTGGCCTGTCCCCTCTCTCTCTCTCTCTCTCTCTCTCTCTCTCTCTCTCTCTCTCTCTCTCTCTCTCTCTCCCTTTCTCTCTCTCTCTCTCTCTCTCTCTCACACGCACACACACACACACACACACACACACACAGACATTCTTTTTCTCTTGCTTGCTTTCTGAAGGAAACCCCCAGTGGATAACAAAAGATCAAGCATGTTCCATTAATTCTTCCTGGTGAAAAAGAAAGGTGAGTTAGAACAGGTTTAGACTTTCTTTAAATGTGGCGCAAAAAAACTACAACACCCAAATCTCCTGAAATCTTCTGTTCTTTGAACTTATCTCACTCTATCACTCCGTCTCCCTCTCTGTCTCTCTCTCTGTCTCTCTCTCTCTCTGTTGCGGCAGCAGTGGGTAGATGAAAGACTGGGTAATGTTCTTCATGGTGGGATTGAGCGGAAAATAAGGAGCATGAAGTGGCTCTTTAAACAAACAGTGAGAACTCAGGAACTCTGTCTAACACACACACACACATATACACACACAGGTTTGTTATCATACAATGTCAGGACAGGATGTATGTGTGTGTGTGTGCGTGTGTGTGTGTATATATACATATTTATATATAAATGGGGGTGTGTGCCATGTGAAATGAACATAGAAATGGCCAAAAATGAATTTGAAAATCATGTATTTACTTCCTAGTTGCTATTTTGTGTTATTTTATATGCCATATTAAGTTGCTATTTTGGAGATATGTGGTTTCGCTCCAACAGCGATGACATGTATGTACCTGTATGCAATAATAATACGTCCCAAATGTATTATATGGACCATTCTACAAAATTAGTTCAAACTGCAGCCCGACAGTAAAAACCTACTATTATAAAAAAAATATTAGGCATTCAGACCTTTGATATGTACAAGGATTATGTTATGAGTGACTGAGTAATAAGCAAAATATATATAATTATAATTTAGAGGGTACTTTCTAATGAGAGGTGTCTGTCCCAAAGCCTACCCCCTACAGTTATACTTGTAAAAATAATACATTTTGTTGCTGTTTGAAAAAGGTCTTTTTGATTTCCTTTGAAGTGAATAATTTTGATTTTTCATGAGTTTAAAACTTTAGTGTCATGAGTATAAACTTTACTAAAAAAAATGCTGTCACACGTTTTCATGTCACTACCGAAACACAAAGAGTTTTAGTCCATAGGTGGGGCCTTATTTTAGCCACACCCCTGCATTTTAGAGCAGGAAGTGAGGCTGCATCCCAGTTTCTCATGGCCACATGGTAAACAGTTAGATCCCACTGTTCTGAACTAAATGTGTCCCAAAGACTGAAAATCAGCGTGGAACATTAAGAACTGTCACAACAGAAACACAAATTTTCTGCAATAAAGTAAACTTTTTTGTGTTTTAATGAAAAATATTATGCTTTTTTTGTGTTTTTTGTGTTATGCTGTTCAAAGCTGTGTTTACTAGTCATGTACTGAGTCCTGCTCAAAATGAGCTAAAATGGTCACTTTCAGAACATTTAGTGAAGTTTTGTTAGTGTTTTGATTGCGAAACCTAAACCTAACCTTAACCTCAGGAACCAAAAAGAAAAAGTGTTAAAAAAATGAAACTTTTGTAGAAAGCATTTTACAAAGCCAGGAGCTTTTCATTCCTCCTATAGGTTAGAACTGTTTTTTCCTGGATTCCAAAATCACAAAAACAAATACAAACACATACACACCTCCATTCACTCTATCACACACACAGACACACACACAACAGGCAAAAAGGATCACCATCACTCTTTAGTGTATGTGTGTGTGTGTGTGTGTGTGTGTGTGTGTATGAGTGTGTGTGAGGGATTTGGACAGTAAGAGGGAGTGTAGAGTGAGGGGTGGGGGGGGTGGGAGGGGGTGGTTTAGCCGGTTTGTAAGGCCTAAGAGACCACAGGCCGGATATAGGATTTACACAACAGCAGAGCAATTATTCTTCCACTGACTGACACACACACACACACACACACACACAAAACCTACACTATATTTTGTCAAACGTGCATCAAGGTAATAAAATGTTTATTATTAGCTCAGCCAGCAGTGTACGTGAACAACTGTAGTGTGTGTGTGTGTGTGTGTGTGTGTAAAATCACAGTAAATGAGTCAGTAGTTTGACATTTGCGCACACACACTCAGGATATTATATTCCCTCTGCACGCAGCGCTGTGTGTTCTGCATGCCAAGCTCTCATTAGCACTATTTATTTACTCACCTCAGGCTGGACACAACCTTTACACACACACATACACAAATACACACAAACTAAGACACGTACACACACACTGACAAAAACACACACACATACACACATACAGTAAAGGGAAAGACATTCTGTGTGTGTTAAGGTTTGGCTCTGTAACCATCTTTGCTCTTTGAATAGCCTCAGTTTTAACTATTGGACTGTACTACGGATGTAACTCACTGTATTTAAGTGTACTGTATTATACTGCGTTATTATATTGTGACTAGCATGTTAGCATGTGGGTAGTGTGTGAGATTGTGGCTAGATCATTAGATCGGGACACTATAAAGCACAGCTTTTGTTTCAAATATTGTAATTTTATAATACTGAATGACCAAATGAACTGAAAATTGAAACATTAGCATATTCACGTAAGTTATCATCTTCAGCCACTCCTTATTTTGCTGTATGTGTCAATTTGAGACACCACCGTATAGTACAGACTCGAATAAGAAACTTAGTGACTCAAATTGACGTCACACTGAACATCTCAACAAGAAAATATTTTATATAATATAAATGAAAACATTGAAGTTTAATTCTTTAATTCCATGTACAAAAATATTTCCACCTTTTAATCTAATCTACTCTTTTCATAGCGATGCAAAAAGCTTTCTGAATGTTATCTACTTTATTAGTCCTACAAAAGTAATTCGTCATTTTGCTGCCTAACTATGCCCAATCTGGGAGCAGCACATCGTCGCCACCTGGGGCAGGGGGGAGTGTGTTAAGAGACTTGCCCAATGGCAAAACCTGGTATACCTGGTCAGTCATGGGATATGAACCTACAACCTTTATATACTTAAAATAAACATACCCATTGGGGGTATAGTGTACCTGCAACAGATGACCGCCTTGCAGGACAGCGCGAGGTCCAGAAAGGCCTGCCGGACTTCGAAGCTCAGAGCATATTTAAGTGTCTGACCGTCAATGATGAGGGCCAGCTCGTTCTCCTTCCCCAGAGAATCCCCCAGAGACGAGCAGTGGGCTATCAGAGTGGCTCGAGTGGCCTAAAAATGAGAAAACACACACTTATCAGCATGAACGCACACTCTGAACACACACATACACACTCACTGCCTGTCAGATGACTGGAATCACTTGTCATTAATAACTGCAATTTTATTCAATAATGTTTTATATAATGTAGATTTAAATAGTGTAAACTAGGCATGAAAAGGTGTTTTTAGATGTTATATTCAAAATTTCAATTTTGGAACAACAAAAGGACAGTCGTCATTTTTTTTTGCTTCATGATTTGATCTCCACTTTTCAAATATGGGGCATTCTAGATATTCACTTTATTAAAACTTAAGAGTTCTGGAAACATCTAAAATTTCTTAATTTATTACAGTTTCCAGCAAATGATTTAAAACCTAAAGTAAAGCATCACATTAGAACCATTTATACATGCATCTGCAGAAATCTTCTAAGCAGAGATGTACGGCCAATGATGGGAATAAATCAGTCATGATCGGAGCCAATTTTTGTTCCAAAATACACAATCAGCAATCAGAAAATGTATTATTTTGACTTTGGCTGTACTTGGTTGTAAATTTAGCAGTTTTCCAAAAAGCAGTTCGGTACAACCAAGAACTGCCTGTACTGCATTAAATTCTTTGAAACTTAGGCACACCACCACACTAAGGCTCAGTCGAATGATTGTTCCTAAGCATATTTATGAATAATTAACCTTCCATGTATTAAAGTGACATGCAAAGCAATGAATGCTTAAGAAAAATAAATAATTATAAAGTTAGTTAAGAAAGTATAGGTAAAACAAGCCTGAGTGTCAAAGCACTTAATGACCAAAGGGATAAAGTGAGGTCATTTTAATTTTGGCTGTCAAGAAATGTGGCGTTTTACTGAAAAAACATACTTTATCAAAATAAAAGAATGAGGACTTTTATTTTGAAAAATGTATCTCAGTAAAATGACGTAGTCCATACTAATATAATGTAAAACATGTATACTTTATGAATGTTGATTTAAACATTCATGAACATGTTAAAAAGTGTTTAAGTGTGAGGTTATGGATGTGTTACGTGGACACCCTTCCAGTAAAGTGTTACTGCTAATTCTGCCCCCTTGTGGAGATTGTTGAGCCTGCTAAACATGAACAATTGAGTGGGTTAAAGCCAGGTTCATGAGGTGCTTCATATCTAAAAAGACTAGCTAATAAAAATTGGCCAGAAAAATTGCACATCAGCCATTTTGGCTACGAAGAAATCAAAATCAGCCATAAGAATTCAGTGCTGTAGATATCTACCATAAAACAATATTATAATTGTGATGACTGATTTGTCTGTAATTCATCATTTACCCATTTAATTCCAGAGAGCTGTAAAAGACACACACACAATCTCATATGATGACACTCAGAACACACACACACACGAAGACTCACATTCCCACACATGTCCAGAGATTTTACACACACACACATAACTCAGGCTAAGAGTGTAATGCCAACAGAGGTTCAAGGGGATGTTTTAAGTGGTGTCACTGGGGCTGATAACATGACCTCTCTCTCTCTTTCTCTCTGAATCTCTCTCTTTCTCTCTCTCTCACACACACACACATCTGTTCCACATCACTCTGTCACCCGACACACACTGAGCTCTCATACACTCCCCACACACTGAAATACAGGCCAGCATGAAAGAAAGGGGAGGGAGAAAGAGACAAAAGAGAGAGAGATAAAGGCAGAGAGAGAATGAGAGAGAGAGAGAGAGAGAGAGAGAGAGCAAGAGAGACAAAGTGAGACAGAAAGGAAAAAACACAGGGAGAAAGACAGAGAGAGAGAGGGATGGAAAAAGAGAGAGATATAAAGATTACATATTTATGTCTAAGTGTGTGTTTATTAAGATGTAGTTGGAGGCGGTTTCTGATGGACTTGTTGATAATGGAAAGGAAGATTAACAGAGAAAACAAACATCCTATACTGCTGTAATGAGAACCATGTGGACACACACACACACACACACATGACTGGTCACCTGGACATTTTTCAAGTTAGTCCGTGTCGACGCCATGGTAACCAGTAGACCATTTCTTATAGCCATGACAATGCTTAACACATTTCCCTCTGTCCTCTTCACCTGCAGTCTCAGCTGATCTTGGTCGGTTCAGACTGATTCAGTCCCGGCTGGAGTGAACGCAGCCTGACCTCAGATCAGAGTTAACAGAGCTTTATTAAACTCCCCTCACATTAACCCTGACAAAGGCCGGCCTTCCTGCATGCCTGAACTCCTTAACGTGTGTGTCTGGACGAAAATGTCCTGACTTTGTATGAAAAAGAGAAACGCGTCCTGTAGAGGATTTTATCTTAATTTCACAGGGAAAATCAAGAAAACATGTAATGACTGGGGGGTATTTAAACTTTTGCATACAGCTGTATAATGCATATGGGACAAATTATTAAGTCTAAGTACATACACGTACTGTCATAACTCCACTGTCTTGTTTGTCATAAGTACATTTTTCTGTTTATGTTTTCACACTGTTTCAAAACGAAAGCTGTCCTTCATATTGTGGGAACATTTCATGGCAAACAAGTGAACAGTAGTGATTCAAAATAACTTAGAATAAAACGCCCTTACATTAATATAGATTATTAAAGTTATGAAAGATTTCTTCTGCTCTTATAAGTTTATCATTTCAGAGATATGAGCTTCTGTTGAAGTTACATTATGTAGTCGACATTTTATATATATATACATATATATATATATATATATATATATGGGAGATTCAGTATATATGGGACATTAAGTGCACAAAAATCTGCCATTTATTTATTTGATCTCCAGTTAAAAAGGCAATTAAGTACAAGTTATTCATTATTCAGGAGATATTTCTGAGGAGATTAAAATAAAATATTGAAAAAATAAAATAAAATAAATATTTTATAAAATAAATAAAATAGATATATATTATATAATAATATGTATTTTTTCTGCACTCTGGCATGTGTAATCTCTGTTAATCCGTATGTTCTGCTCCTGTTTTGCCCCCCTTTTTTCCCAGGAAAAGTATTATAATTAAAATTATAATTACATTTTAACAATTATAACAATATAAATATAATAAGTAAAAATAATAAAAGAAAACAAAGATAAAAAAAAATACAATAATAAAATAATCCACTTCTATAGGCAAGGGAAAAATAACTGAAAAAAACAGAGTTCAAAAAATCTTAAAAGATACAGAGCATTTGTCTTTGAGAGAGAGGAGAAAATCAAGCTCCACTCTTGCTTCAGATCTGAAAACATCCACAGCCATCCTTCCACTGTGAGAAGACAACTCAGCACTGTGAGTCTGAAAAGATGTGCAGCTGTTTCTCTTACTGATAAAATGAAATTACATTTGCAAAACAAACAAAGAAGCTGCTGGTGCTCTCCAAACAATGCACTGACCACCCCAGAGTCCAGACCTCAACATCACAGAGTGCGTTTGGGATCCTTGGATCCTGAGAAGCCAAAAAATGCAACCAACTTCTAAGACTGAACTTTGGAGGTGTGGAAAACTATCCCTGCAGATTTATGCAAGCTGTAATAACAGCAAGGACTGGACACTAAATACTGTAAAAATGTAGTTAGTAGTTGTTGCTTCTGTGTAATTCGGTGTAAAACATATGTAACAGAAATAAATGAAAAGTGGTCTCTGACTTCTGCACAGTTCTGTGTTTATGAGCTCCTGGAAAGGTATAAAAACAAACATGTATGACTGCCTGTGTGAGTGTGAGTGTGTGTGAACATGAGTTGTTTAACCGCAGCTTTCGGGTGTTTTATCTTTTCAATCAGGAATTCCTGTTTGCACTCACCTTTCCTGTGAAAAAAGGGGGGCAAAACAGGAGCGGAACGGACGGATTAACCGAGATTACACATGCCAGAGTGCTGAAAAATCAAAACACGTGTGATAGGCAAAGTCTACGTGAGTACGAGGGGGGAAAGCAAGCCTGAGTGTGTGTGTGTGTGTTTAACAGTGGCTGATTAGTAGAACAGTAACTGCTCCTGGTAATGCATTACAGACGCTCTTAAAACTTAAAACACTTCCTCCTTCACTCTCTCTTTCTGGATCTCTCGTCCTCACACAGCGGGATGTCTTCAGTCGGTTTAGCCCAAATTCGTATTAGCCACGAGCATGAGGAAAAGATGTGCCATCTACAGCCCTGTGCAGACAGGGCAGGTTTTCCAGACATGAGTCTGTGAGTTAATGTTACTACGGGATATTTCATATGTAGTGTTTATAGCTGATGGGATAATAGAAACTACATCTACTCTACGCGATTATTTACATGGTGAAGTCGCACCAAGAAAGTTAAAAAGCAAGCGTACATGCTGTGAAATAGTATTTGCCCCCTTTGACTTCTTTAATTTTTGCATATATGTCACAATTAGTTGTTTCAGGTCTTCAAACTAAATTTAATTTCACACAAAGACGACATAAATAAACACAAAACACACTGGCACTGTGCGAAATATTAACTGCCCCCTTAGTTGCTCAACCAACTAACCAAATTGAGTTGATAACTTGGATCAATTACACTAGACACACCCAGGCTTGAACACCTAAACATCATTTAAAACAGAACTTCTCCAGCCATGTGAGCGAGGCTAAAATGTCTCAATAAGCAGCTCGCTATGCTGCGATCAAAAGAAAGCCATTTCTAAGGCTCCAGGACTCAACTGAACCACGAGAGCCATTATCTCCAAATGGAGAAAACGTGGAACAGTGGTGAATTTTCCCAGAAGTGGTTGGCATACCAAACTGCTTCCACCGTTAGAAAGATGCTGGGCAATAATGGCAGAACTGCAAAAACCACTGCTAACCAGGAAGAGCATTAAGGCTCGTCTCACGTTGTTGATCCCCAAGCCTTTTGGAATAGTGTTCTGTGGGCTGACAAGTAGAAAGCAGAACTTTTTAGAAGGCAGGGGTCTCGTTACATCTGGTGTAACATGGTGGTGGTAGTGTGAAGGTGTGGGGGCGGTTTGCTCCTTCAGGGCCT